ACATCTTCACTATGATACTACCAAGGCAAAAACATAAAAAGTTCAAGAAGGCCATGAGCTTGTACTAAGGCAGGCTATAATCATGTGATATCTCCAAACGACCAATCATATTTGCTTAAGTCCTTCCAAGCCTGGACGCAAGCAAGTCCATCAACAATCATGACTTAGTTTGAAAAAGAGGTCGATTTAAGGTTATGGGTATACTTCTTGTCATGTCTCACTACTATTCATCACTTAAAGTAACTACTATTCTTGGCACACAACAGTAACTGTTTTCTCTTTTCTTATACTTTCATTACATTTCATATCACTGTTTGGGATGGCCGCCCTAAAGGCTACAGTTGTAATCTTTCCCTACCTATCGTAGTCATAAGGAGGAGGTTTTTAATGACGTACCGGAGGATATTACTTGGTGTTCCTACAAACTGTAGGAAGAGAAGAAAGTATTACACGTATACTTAGATAAGCCCGATAGAGCCATAGAGAATGCAAACTAGAGGGTCAAGGCCCGAGGTCAGGGGTATGGGACTCGACTGTAAGATGAACTTACTCAGATATACATATCTGGCCTTGTAGGCCTCATAAATACAATCAAGTCAATCAAGCATCTATTCATACCTCATAAAGTAACACCATATATTACTATATCCAGTTCTGCCGACATCTTCTATTCATGATGGTGCGGCCATGCGTGCAGTTGATAGTTGTACTTAAGGTATCGTAAGGATGTAGGGCATCATGACGTCTACATCTCATCATTATCGGCCTTGGCATGGCACCGTACACACAAGTATATAAGAGAAGTCATTCTCCATGTATATAGACAATAAGATAAGACAACTCTAGAACTCCTAAGTTTAACACCACAGAAAATAGAAACACCGAGTGATCTCTTATGAACTAACCTGAGTAGTAGAATCAAACACAAAAAGAGAAGAAACATTTCAGCACAAGCCCCACGCGGGGGTTGAACCCGCAACCTTAAGAGACTCAGGCTCTACAGATTGAGCTAGGGGGGCTTCCATGTATCCAATGAGGAAATTCAAAGCTGTCAAGCATGGGTAAAAGAATTGGTATTCTGTCAGACTACAAAATTGGACAGACATCGGGAACAGGAACAGGAAACATAAAGGTATCGGGGAAAAAGGTTTACACGAGAGAGAGCATATCAGAGATTGGAGGTCACATCAAATTGTTATCAATAGGGAGGACGTGTCCTTCATTCTAAATCCTCAATGCGAGCGAGAATGATTTCAAACAAAACCATAACATCGTTGACGGTATGGTCTAAGGATGTATCGTACCGCATTCTCTGCTCGAGAGGTCCAATCTAGACGACGCAACACTAATGGGAACACGAAATGGGCTGTTCAGTGTCTGTCCCACTCGCGCCGGAGGGCGAGAATCAATAAGTAGCAGTTGTGAAGTTATGTTCTGAGCACCGCCAAACGAAATTGATAGTGTGAAGACAACGAAGACCAACGCGAATTGCGAGTATAGAGTACATGTTAAAGTACAATGGGAAGTTTAGTGCTCATACAATCTCACTCGGTTGCTCAGGATCGAACCACCTAGCTCCTAGACGTGCTATTGCGACCAGCCTCAATGGCACGGGCAAGTGGCAACTAACGGGCTCTCGACAACAATCATTTAAGAAACATTAAGACTTACTTAAGTTGTTTACCTCTCGCCCTTTAGATTTATATCGCGCAATCATCTCCACCAACGCTACTCCAATATTCCACAACTCTTGTCACCGCCATCTTCTCTACTCTCACTCATACATACAAAGTATTTTTCCTCAATATTCACAATGCCTCCCTTCGCTGCCCCCCACCACTCCAACGCCTCCTCCTCCGAGCTCCGGTACTTCCCCAACCATTGTATCACCCATGTTTCACTCTGCTAACCCCTCCCAGCCGCTCCGAAGAGTACAAGATGGTTTACGCAGAGCTCCTGGACTCGGGTTTCAATCCGGCCTTGGCCGCCCAGGGTATTGATGAAATGATCAGTATTTACTCTTGCATCCCCTCTGCTCGACAAGTTGAGCGCTGGGCACAGCAAAGGGAGATCCTTGAGAGAGTGAGAGCCTCTGGACCGCCGCCAAGGGCCCCACCAAAGCAGCAAGAGGTGAACAAGGAGGATGAAGAAAGAAAGAGGGAAGCAATGAGACAGAGAAAGTTAGAGAAGTTGGTATTCAACATACCTAAGTCTGGAAAGAGGAAGAAGCAGGGGGTGGAGCCACATATAGAGCCACCACGGGCTCACCGCATTGCCGCCCAGCCAAACAGGCCAACACCTACCACGCCCGTTGCTCTCAAACAGGGGTTAACAGATTCAGACTACGCAGTGCAAGTTTTCTGGGCGAGAAGGGATGCACGAAGGAGGGAGGACGAGGAGAGAAGGAATGCGGAGGCCAAAGAAGAAGAGAGGAAGAAGAAGCAGGCCGAGGAACAGCGGCAACAGCATCTACAGCGGGAGCGACAACTACAACAAAAGAAACGACAGCAGGAGCTGGAAGAGAAGCGGCGGAAAGAAGAGGAGGAGAGGAAGAAGGCCGAGATCGAACAGAGGGAGAAGAGGCGGAAAGAAGAGGAGGAGAGGAAGAAGGCCGAGGAACAGCGGCAACAGCATCTACAGTGGGAGCGACAACGACAACTCCTGCAGCAGCAGCAGCATCAACTCCACCTGCAGCAACAACTACTGCATCACCGACAACTCGCGCAAGCCATGCAACAGCAGCGGCAACAACTGCAGCAACAGCAGCAATGGCTGCGAGAAGAAGAAGAGAAGCGGAGACAGCGGCGTAGGGCGATGGACGAAGAACTGCAACGAGATCAGCAACAGCAGCAACGGCAGCAACGGCAGCAACAGCAGCAACAGCAGCAGCGACAACTACAACAAAAGAAACGACAGCAGGAGCTGGGGGAGAAGAGGCGGAAAGAAGAGGAGGAGAGGAAGAAGGCCGAGATCGAACAGAGGGAGAAGAGGCGTGTTGAAGAACTGCAGCAGCTTCAACAGCAACATCAGCAGATCCAACGAATAGTGGAGCAACCCCAACGTCTCCCGAACCCCCCCGCACCGTCCGTCTCCGCCTCGGCTTCCGATATCCAGGCAGATTCTTTTTCCTCATGTTTCTCCACCGCTTTCCCCATATCCTTCTCCTTCACCTCTCCCGTGCCCTCTTCCGTCATCCCTATCGCCACTCCCTCAGGCCCCGCCAGCCTCAAACCGGTTTCCTCTTCCCCCTACCCCTCCCTTCCCCTCTCTTCTTCTCTGACCCCATTCTCCCTTTCCTCTTCTTCCCTCCCCCCTCATGTGCAATTTCAACACCAACATCAAGCCCGTCTTTTCGCCTCCCGCCAACGCTGCGCGCAAGAGAAGCACTTCCACGTCCAGGTAGAAAGGAACCGCAACGCCGTGTGTAATTCCCGCCAACAGCTCCGCGTACGCAACGAGCAGCAGCAGTGGCAACAGATGCAGACTGAGAAGAGATGGTATGGGCGATTTTTCTCCACAGAGCTTACGCAAGCTGAACGAGATGCTTTGAGCGGTGTGACGCCGAAGTTGAAGTGGGAGTGCGAGGCGGCGGTTGTGGATGAGGTGAAGAAGTCGGTGACGAGGTCGGGGTTGAAAAAGACGACGCCAGGGAGGATTCAGGTCGTGAAGGAAGTGCCAAGTGTTAGATTTCACACAGCGGCAACGAGGGAGACAGCCAAGGCGCATATGAACGAAGGGGAGATTGACTGGGTAGCCTTGGGCCTTGCATTGGCTGTCGTGTTTGGGGCCTTGTACGCCGTTGGACGGATGTTTGAGTAGTGTGGCTTTTTTGTGTCATGGGTTTGGTTTGGCGGTGTCGGGGCGTTTGTTACTTTTATGGGAATCGGTGGGTTTTGTGGGTTTTGTAGAGCTTTGTGGGCAATTGGGCGTTTCTGTTTTTTGTTTTTTTACCAGGTTTCAAATGGAGAACTGAGTATAGTTACGGTCTCCTCGTGAAAATACTGCTGGTGTTGCCGGTTATTCAAGCTTGCGTTTAGCGTATTCTGTGGACAAGAGGGACATTTGCACTTCCGACTTGCGTCGTGAAACAGACATCAGGAGGTATTCAGGAGTGTGATGTTGGACGCCGGGGGTAGTGGATTAGGGTTAGCTGTAACATCTGCTCCGGCAAAGATAATACCTTTATCCTCGGAGTTAACTCTCATGAGCTCAACCTGCATCACGATCCTCTTTAAACCAGAACATTCGGTAGCTACGATTTAAGGAATATACCGAGCGTTCATGGAATTCAAACCAGGACCGGGATATCAAAAGCAATCCATCAATACAACGCTCCCGGCTCCTGGGGAACAGAAGTATGGCTTATTCCGAGGGATTACTTGGTGTTACGAAGCATCGGGAGTATAAGTCCGGCTGTGTGTTGAAGAATCTAGGAAACGGACCCATTCATGATTCATTCAATAAGTCGTATTAGGAAAACGGCTAACCTCACCTGGCGTGCTCTATACTGATGTATATGGAGAGTGTAGAGAGGAATGATGATTATTATTCGCTCCAACTTCAGCGGGGATGTCACAACGATATGTAATCTGCAATCTACTCTAATCAATGTGATCACACACGACCTATCGGATTGAGGGAGGAGAGGTCTTCTCTCTGTTCACAACATGTCTATCGTCTCGTCATACGAGATGTTTGTCCCCCAGTATTCCGACATCTATCGCCCTGGATGGGGTGTGGCCATTGTGGACGACAGGGGGGTTCCAGACGCGGGAATGACGAAGGCAAAATCCGGAGTGTAGACGGGTTGAGGGAAACAGAGAATTCCGAGAGTGCAACGTTTCCTTAGGTTGAATCACGAGGCATCGGGAGTCCTAGTGCAATATCTAAACCAGCTACTGCTACGTTTTGGGGGACTCCGCTTTCTGTTTGTGCTATCAACATTCCCTTCGCTATTGCACGTAATTACATTTGCTGGTGTTACAGTAATCTCATTCATTGCTCTGGTGGCCAAGTTGGTAAGGCTCAGCACTAGTATTTCATCGCAATGCTGAGATCCTCGGTTCAACTCCGAGTCAGAGCATAGTATGGTCGTTCGTTTCAAACGACTGGCTTGGAAAGTTTTTTGGTTACCTGTAGTACCCGTGATTCATTTTTGAAAGCAATAGTGCGGCCGCATTTTTGGATCAAATAACGACCTCGAGGCGACAATGCAGCATTTTTTCAGAGTCCATCTTCAGGCGTGATGTATCGGATTCAAGCAGTGTTCGCCACGAGACGAGACGAGACGAACCGAGACTTCAGTAGAGCCCGGGACGTCACATCTCGTGGGGCTTTCAGCCTCGCGGTCCCTGGACTTTATGTGATGTCCCGGCGGTAGTCTCGGGACGTCTCGTACTAAAGTTTATATATTCAGAATTCCTTATGACTCCCTCTCAACAACCATATATAACGCAGTAGTGGTATCTTCGGGTTTTTATCCAACCAATAGAAAGCAGTATTGGTGGAGTTAGATATGGGGCGTTGTTTTGGATTTCTATAGAGGCGAGTACAAAATCACCGGTGATTTACCGCTGATGGAAATCCAAAATCACACCCCATATCTAACTTTTGTAATTCATACTCAAACAACCCAAGTATGGGCTTGAATTGTAGTTAATACATAGTAGAAACTGGTATGCTATGTGAGAAGAGCTAAGAATTGACCGTACCGACCCATAATGGCAATAGATATTCACCCGAGACAGATTAACTTGTGCACACTGCAAAAACAATTTCAGAGTATTTCTGGGTAGCCAAACAGTTTATGCAGTGTACTGACTTCAATACAAGCCCATTTTCATGTTTTTGTGACACTATCTGTGGAAGTTAGAGGTGGGGGATGTGTTTGGATTTCCATCAGCGGCCAAAAATGCGAAGCATCATGAACGATCACTCCCATAGCAACGATATTGCAACCCCTGTACACAGCTACCCACTTAAGTTAGGCCTGCCAAGTTCGCTATGCCGATATCCATCTACCTTGTCTGGGCGACGGTAATTTATTCCAAACGCAACAATTGGCGAACTATACTCTATATTCGGAGAAATTTTTGGGCCTCCAGCTTTCGGCACTCAGTGGCACACCCGAAGTTCGGTCAAACACAGTATTTTACCTACTCCTACACCCATACTAACACATCCACCCACTAGCAGTTGCAACTTCGTGGGCAGCAGGCCCAACCCGCCGACTATCCCTCCATTGTTCAGATACTAGGGAATAAATCTCCCCGGTCCCGCATAGAGAAAATGCCTGACCAGAGCGGGTATTGCCGCGCAGAGCTAGCTAACGCTGGCCATCCTCCGCATCCCTTTTTCCGAAGTGACGTTAAGCCATTGAATGAATTTGATTCGTCGCCCGCACATCTTAAACATTCAAAACGTTCACCAGGCAGTTGATGTGGTTAGTTCTTCGGGAGCCAATCATATATATGAAATATAAATTGCCAGTCTTATGACTTTGGTGTTTCAGAAAACACGTGGGGAGAGTTCTCTGCGTCGTACCTTTACTGGAAGCAGCGGCAAGAATTTCTTCAACGTAGGTAAAATACCTCTCACCCGGTTAAGTTAATCCATTGGATACAGGGGGACCGTTGTCCTCGTATTCAGTGCTTAATGGGACCCAGGCTGCAGATCGAACAGCCGCTACCTTTGCGCCTCGACTCGGTCAAATATCGATAGAGGCGTATCGAGCGGGGGGATATACCCGACGAGGGTGGGGTGAAAATGCTCAGATGGTCGGCATAGGAACCCGAGTTTTCAACTCGTCTAATATATTTATCTATCATTATAAATAGTTGAAGGTTCTTCTATCAAACCAACATTGCCAGGATACATAACAGTAGCAACGTAGGCTACCATATTGTTACAAAAAAAAGTTTGATTCCAGAAAACGTCTGTGTTGTCCAGCGAGACTCTGGTTCGCTTGTAGGCGCAGTTTAATATCACTCATCTGTTTCTATCTCCATTCCCATTCCTATCCCACCTTCCAT